CCCTAAATTGGAGCGCTAAGCGTTGCGTTATCCATTGTCGACGAGTGTCAGCGCGCGCTATCCCCAAATCAACGCGTCGTAATTTTTGACGTTTTCTCAGATCCTCTCGTTTTTATTCTCGTTTCCTCTTTCACTTTTTTGTCCTTTCTCTTTCTTTCCGTCTTCCGCATCCAACTTCAACACGTAACGCCCTGTCAAAAATGAAAATTCCATTTGCTCGGCGTTAGCGCCGCGTTATTGTGGGATGCTTCATACAAATTGTATGGGCATGAGGATTTTTGACAGTTGTTTGGCGCTTGACGCGCCAATTTAGGGATGGCAGTTAAATGGGAAGCAACGAAAATGCCAAAAGCAAAGCAAGAAAGTTGAAACGACTTGACGGTACAGACGCATGTGTACTCGTCCCTTTTCTTCTCACCCCCTCTCTTCCACATTCGAGCCAATTGAATTCAATACTTGAACTGTGAACTATCGATAGTGCTTACAAAACCATCGATGTTTTCGATAGTCAAAACCAACGATAGTGCCATCGATAGTTTTCCAGCTCTAGCACATGTGGTTACACGCGTTTTAACTACAAGTAAAAACCGTAAATTCAAAACATTCGTTAATTAAAGTGCACTAAATATATATTTTATTTAAAATTGGTAGAAAATGGCCATTGAAGCAAAGAATAAAAGGAAACGTAAGCATCAATCCACGGAGCAAGATGGCGAGGAGGTCATCGACGATGGGGAAGTTGCAGTGCCAAAGAAAGTGGCCAAGAAGGCAAAGGACAATAAAATAATTAAAAAGAATAAGAAAAATGCTTCCGCTGCCGAGGAACAACAGTTACAAGTAGCAGAGGAAGTAGAAAATTATGCCAGTTACGACGTTGAAGAGCAAAGAGATGAAGAAGAAGCGGATGCTTTGGGAAGTGCCCAGCAGACTGATACAATACAGGAACACGACTCTGGCTTTGAAGAGAAAGAGCTAAATTTTCCGAAAGATTTTAAAATGCTACATTTTCGCACTAAGCTACGCAGCAATAACTTCATAACAGGTAAAGATACAATTTGCAAAATATATTAAAGTTAGGGGAGTACAACTTTGTTCTTTCAGAACTGCGTCACTTTTTACATATCGTGCAATCGCGCCCCAAATTGGTTGCGAAATATATTGAGAAACGCGGGAAACCACTTGAATTAGCTGAAGCGTTAGAACGCGTAGATAAAACCAATTTACTCCACATCGGCTACCTCTGCCAGGCGCTGCAGCTTGTGTTGATGGAGATCGTTTCTAACCAAAAAGATCATATGGAATCGGCTGTGTACGCCTCACGCTATTTTCTCAAGTCTCATGGCACGGTATTAGACCTATTACTAAAGTCGACGCAGCTACAGCATCGCCGCACAGCGCTCAAACTACTGACTGCCATTGTTTGTGTAGACCCTAAATTGGGCCGTCAGTTGCTCGCCTCATATGACGTCCTCTCCAATGTAAAGACCATTGAGAAGTTGCTTTCACATTCTCATTTGGAGCTCCGTGAACCGGAGACGGTACGCAAATGCTTCATACACTTTGTGCTCGCCTATTTGGTAGACGGCAATACGCTGCTAATACGCAATATACTCGATCGTGGCGCCTTAATACGCGCACTGGTTTCGGGCCTGCAATATGATGATCATGTTACCGTCTGTGTGGTGGTAAGCACACTGCGCAAATATGTGCTCGAGTGTGCAGAGATATCGAAAACAAAGAAGATACATGTTTTCGATGCTGAATGTTGTAGAAATTTCGCGCACCTCTATGATTGGCAGGGACCAAAAGTTTATGCAGCGAAGTGCTCGGGCAAGCAAGGCGCCCAGACACGTCTTAGACTGGAGCAAAACAATGATTTAGTGAATACAGAGGAGAGAGATGCGGTCGCTAAGGTAGTGCATGAATTTATGCTGTTGCTCTTGACATCGAGGAAGCATGGTATTTGCTTCGATGCAGTTACTCACTACAGGCAGAAACACAATGCCATACAGGGTAGGTGTGAGCAGCATGACTTTAATTCAGCGTAATTCAATTCTTTATTATTGCAGGCAAACTTATAAGTCAGTTGTACAAGCCGTGGTGCGATGAACGTAAAACCGAACTAGTAATACGTATACTCACTGCCTGCGCCGATCTTGGGCGTCATACCGTACGACACTTCGCAGGTATTATAAACCCTATGCGCACCCCTTCACGTGATTGGATCGGCGCCTGCACTTTTCTAACTAAAATTATAGCCACCTTGGAACCACAACTGCTACGCACTGCGCTGGACAAAATTACACTCACCGATTGCACTTACTTTATTAAGGATGTTTGCTTGCCTATCGAGACGTTGGCACTCGTAGCTGGTGCTAAAATGGTACGTCATAAAAGCTTCCAATTCCGCGTGGCTGCCAACCGCCTGCTATATACGATGTTTTCGCAATATTCTGCTTACATGTCGGCGATTGCGAAGCGTGAGGAAGCACGTGGAAATGTGAACTCCTTACGTCGCTTTCGCTTGGATATATTGAATCATATTTTGGTGAATTTTCCCACAGTCGAGGAGATACTTTTCTCTTTGAACATATCTATAAAATCTCAGGATGATGAGACAGTCAATGTGCTTGAGCATTTGGATATATCATTGGATTTAGTATTGGTTATATGCAAGGAACATCGGTCGTTTGTGAACAAGACTAGCACCATTTTAGATTACTTGGAGCTGTTGCGTCCGCTCTATGCTGGCGATGAGTCGGAAGATATCGCCGCCGAGACAAGCAATATCAAATTAGAGCTGAAGGCCATCAAAACTATATTACTGCTGTTGCCAAAGGCTCTGGAGCCGAATGAAAAGCTTTTTAGCAGCGTTTTGAAATCATTCATCAAGGCTTTCATGTACGGTAGTAGCGAGGTAAGCGTTGAGGCGGGTGATTTGCTGCGAAAAATTTTCTTAAACACTGGACTTTTCGATTCTGGCATTTGGGAGGTCGATTTGTGGTTGGAGGCATTGCGTTTCTTCGATGTAGTAACGGTGGATGTTGTCACACAGGTTTTAATCGAAGTGCTGCAGGTGCGTGTATGCTTTCAAAAAAAAAAAAAAAAAAAACTAACAACGTTTTTTTTCTCTCCCGGCTCAGGTCACCAAAGTAGATGTAGAGATACCCAAAACAGCTGCATCCAAACTAAACGAGGAAAATTTGCAAAGACTTTTTGAGAACATCGAAAATGGTCTCTCCGTTCAAGCTTATGTGGAAAGTATTTCGATTAGCAAGCTTATGCCTCTCATATTCAAGGGTGTAAAGATTATTTCACCGCTGGACAAATACTTAGAAACTGTCTGCCTATTGCTCTATCACTACTACCCAAACCCGGAACAAGTGCTACAACTGTACAAACAACAATTCAATGCACTTGAAAAATATATGACAGACTGGCTAGTTGGCAGCGACAAGGAACCATCGCTCACGTTCGCTAAACTGCCGTTAGAGTTAACCACCTTAGCACAACTGCATGCCGCGCTGGTGCAGGGTGATGTAAGACTTGGGAAAATGTTCGCCGCAGCAAAACCTGAGAAGCGATCACTTGAGTTGATGCTACGCGGGGAGGCGGTCACGCTCAGCGCCGCATTCAGGAGTAAGCGTTTGATAATGATCTACGTGCAGCA